AACAAAGACACCAGGCATGTGAGTGAAGTAGTCTCCAGACATTTTGAGTGACCCCCTCCCCAGCTGAGGCCTTAGTCTTCATGGAACAGAAATAAACCATAAAAAACTAGAATAAGGGATATGAACATTTGTTTTAATGTATAGCAAGCATTTATACACTTTAGCTCATTTAATTCTTCCAAGAATCTCTCAGGGCAAGTATTATCAACCCCATTTTACAGAGAAGAAGAGCAGAGCTCAGAGAGGTTCAGCAATTCGCCCAAGGCAGCACAGCAGGTGACTGACAGACCTGGATGCTAACTTGGGTCTTTCTGGCTCCAGATCCACCCTCCTACATGGGTTGATTGCTGAAAGAGGGAAACAACTCATTGTGTCAAACTTTCAGGCTCAGCCATAAGAAATTTATAGACCCAAAGAATACACTGAATTAGATCAGAAGTTCCATGCCTGGGTCCTCTGGGAGCTATTTTTGGCAAAAACTGCTGGAAAATTGTGCATCCATTCTTCCTGCCAATGTTGTGTAGTCAGGGAGGAATGTGTAAACTCTCCACTGTTGGCGAGAATTCTGTTCATTGAGAATCTCAACTGGCCAGATGGTCTTACAGTTAACTATCCTGCTGGTTAACAAACAAATGAAGCTATTATTCCCTTTAGTAAGAGGAGACCTTTCTTTTACATTTAAATTAATTTTTGCTTTCTGATCCAATTGAGGAACAAGTTAGGAGGAAAGCTTTCTAAACACGAAATTCTGCCAGAGCACTTGCCACCAAATGAGTTTCTCCCTACTGGTGATGAGTGGTATTGCAACTCAGCTCTATTAGACAAAAGAGAGGTGACACATGTACATGGGGCAATCTCTGGAGCTGGAAACAATTTCAAGGGAAGGCTTAACTAAGAGACAGTGTCACAGAATGATTACACTTGAGTCTCGGGAGTCACAAGATCTGAGTTCAAATCCCTGCCTTGTTGCATGTCCGTTAGGGTCCACTCAGGAAAATAGAAACCACATCAGGTATTTCAAACAGAGGGAAATGGATACATGAATGATGAGACTATCAGAGATGAGCATTAGCAGGAAGCCAGTACCTCCCGGAATGGAAGAGGGAAAACCAGAGGACCCCGTATTACCAGAGCCCAGGAGCTGGGGCCATCTGAAATGCAGGAATGGCAACTGAACCGTTCCAAAAGCTAAACTTTCCCAAGGACTCTGGAGCCACGAAGAAGTCCCTGCTGCTGCAAAGATGCCACTTGAAGCAGAGAGAGGGAGAAACGCCATGCTTCATCCCTTCCTCTCACCCTCCAGCCTCCCGCCAGGCTTCCTCTTTGTTTTGTTTTTTTTTTTTGAGACGGAGTCTTGCTCTGTGCCCCAGGCTGGAGTGCAGTGGCGCGATCTCGGCTCACTGCAAGCTCCGCCCCCCCGGGTTCACGCCATTCTCCTGCCTCAGCCTCCCGAGTAGCTGGGACTACAGGCGCCCACCACCTCGCCCGGCTAATTTTCTTGTATTTTTAGTAGAGACGGGGTTTCACCGTGTTAGCCAGGATGGTCTCGATCTCCTGACCTCGTGATCCGCCCGTCTCGGCCTCCCAAAGTGCTGGGATTACAGGCTTGAGCCACCGCGCCCGGCCCCTCTTTGTTTAACTCAGTAGGGGGCCAGTTGGCAAGGAGGCCTGGGATATGTTGGTTCTCACTATACGGAGTTGAGCAAGAGGACAGATATGAAAGCAAAGAGGCAAATGCAGCCTATCTCTCTAAATGCAACATTGAGCAAGAGTCTTAGGCCAAGTGACTTCCTGCTCTGGGCCTCAACTTCCTCCTCTGCAAAGTGGGGATAACATCCTATCTCATGGACGATGAGACAGTCGAGAGATATGATGACAGTCGAGAGATAATCCAGAGAAGGCTGCCAGTACCCAGGCTGGCACAGGGTAACAAGCACTGCAGACTTGGTGGGGCTGTTGGTGGAACATCCCTAGCCCTCCAAAAGTCACCAGTGCTGCCCACTGGGGGATATTTTCCATAGGTACTTTCTTAGATTTTAGTACAGGAGGGAGCAGGAATGGGGGAATTAGCTTTGAGGTAACGTCCCCTTGCCTGAGTCTTGCTCTGTTGCCCTGGCTGGAGTACAGTGACGCGATCTCAGCTCACTGCAACCTCCGCCTCCAAGGTTCAAGCGATTCTCCTGCCTCAGCCTGCTGAATAGTTGGGATAACAGGGCTGCGCCACCACGCCTGGCTAATTTTTGTGTTTTTAGTAGAGATGGGGTTTCACCATGTTGGCCAGGCTGGTCTCAAACTCCTGACCTCAAGTGATCCTCCTAACTCAACCTCCCAAAGTGCTGGGATTACAGGAGTGAGCCACCGCACCCAGCTTGCCACTGCCTTTTGTATAGAGGTGTTCCAGACTAGTTTGCGTTTTCTAAAGGCTGAATGTAAGGGAATGTGGGGTGTATGTTCATGGTAGGTGTGTGATAACACATGAATATATGCGTGCAGGATATGTGTGTGAGTGTGGAAGCGTGTGTGTGAGAATGCATGGCATATGTATATTGTATAAGTGTGTGTGGTGTATGAGATGTATAGTGTGTGTTTTTGCAAGGGTGTGATGTGTTTGGGCGTAGCGTGTGTGTGAATGCATTTGTGAGTGTGCATGTGCTTGAATGTGTATGGGTGTGGTGAGTGTGAGAGGGGCTGCAGGGCAAGAGTCGGGTTCTCCATCTATGCTTCTCATATAGTGCTCCAGAAGGTCCTTTTGAGAAATCCCCAAACCACAGCCTGCTGGGCCCTGTGTCAGGGCAGAGTTGGGCCCGGGGGGGCCACGTGAGCTGAGGTTCTTCAACTGGAGATTAAGCTCTTTCTCTTTTTTTTTTTTTTTTTTTTTGAGATGGAGTCTCGCTCTGTCGCCCGGGCTGGAGTGTGGTGGTGTGATCTTTGCTCACTGCAAGCTCTGCCTCCCGGGTTCACGCCATTCTCCTGCCTCAGCCTCCTGAGTAGCTGGGACTACAGGCGCCCGCCACCACGCCCAGCTAATTTTTTTTTGTATTTTTGGTAGAGACAGGATTTCACCATGTTAGCCAGAATGGTCTTGACCTCCTGACCTCGTGATCCGCCCGCCTTGGACTTCCAAAGTGCTGGGATTACAGGCGTGAGCCACCGCGCCCGGCCGACTAAGCTCTTTCTATTGGGCATGTGACCTTGGCAGCCCATGTGACCTCTTCTTCTGTACTTCAGTTTCTGTTTGGTTTTTTGTTTTATTTTGTTTTGAGACAGGATCTCACTCTGGAGATCAGGCTGGAGTACAGTGGCACAATCATAGCTCACTGCGGCCTCGACCTCCTGGGCTCAAGCCATCCTTTTGCCTTGGCCTCCTGAGTAGCTGGGACTAAGGGTGCACACCAGCTAATTTTTAAAATTATTTTTAGCAGAGATGGAGTCTCACTATGTTGCCCAGGCTGGACCTCAGCCTGGGTGGTGGGTCTGTGGACATACAACTATGTCAAAACTCACCAAGCGGGACACTCAGATGTGTGCGTGTAAGTGATTGTGTTTTCCCTTGATAAACACTTTTTTATGACACAGAGTGTCCCTCTGTCACCTAGACTGGAATGCAGTGGCACCATCATAGCCCACTGCAGCCTCAAACTCCTGTGCTCAAACGATCCTTCAACCTCAACCTCCCCGGTAGCTGGGACTACAGGAAGGTACCACCATATCCGGTTAATTTTTGTATTTTTAGTAGAGACGGGGTCTTGCTATATTACCCAGGCTGGTCTCAAACTCCTAGACTCAAGCGATCCTCCTGTCTTGGCCTCCCAAAGTGCTGGGATTACAGGCGTGAGCTATTGCACCCAGCCGATAAACACTTTTTGAAATCCCCTTAAAAAAAAAAAAAAAAGTGATCAATGGATTGTAGGAATCATGGTAATAAAAGACTGATCCATGCTACATAAAGTGGATGAACTTGAAAATATTATGTTGAGTGAAAGAAACCAGACACAAAAGGCCACCTACTGTATGATACGGTATGATTCCATTTATAGTAAATGTCCAGAATAGGCAAATCCACAGGGGAAGAAAGTGGATTAGCGTTTACCAGGGGCTGGGACAAGGGGGATGGGGGGTGACTGCTATGAATATGGGGTTATATTTTAGGGTGGTGAAAACACCTAGAACTAGACTGATGGTTATATAACATTGTGAATGTACTAAATGCTACCTAACTGTACTTTAAATTGGTGATTTTTATGTGATGTGTATTTTACCATCTTTTTTTTTTCTTTCCTTCTCTTTTGGAGACAGAGTCTCACTCTGTCACCCAGACTGAAGTGGAGTGGCGCGTTCTTAGCTCACTGCAACCTCTGCCTCCCAGGTTCAAGCTATTCTCATGCCTCAGCCTCCTGGGTAGCTGGAATTACAGGTGTGCGCCACCACACCCAGTTAATTTTTGTATTTTTAGTAGAGATGGGGCTTCACCATGTTGACTAGGCTGGTCTCAAACTTCTGACCTGAAGCAATTCTCCCGCCTCAGCCTTGCAAAATGCTAGTATTACAGGCATGAGCCGCTGCGCCTAGCTGCCATTTGTTTTAAAGTAATTAATGGGGCTGGGTGCGGCGGCTCAGGCCTGTAATCCCAGCACTTTAGGAGGCCAAAGCGGGCGGATCACCTGAGGTCAGGAGTTCGAGACCAGCCTGGCCAACATGGTGAAACCCCATCTCTACTAAAAATACAAACATTAACCAGGCGCGGTGACATGCACCTGTAATTTCAGCTACTCAGGAGGCTGAGGCAGGAGAATCGTTTGAACTGTGGAGGCGGAGGTTGCCGTGACCCAAGATGGCACCACTGCACTCTAGCCTGGGCAACAGGTGAGACTCCATCTCAAAAAAATAAAAAACAAACAAACAAAGTAATTAATGGTAAAACAAAAAAAAAAACCGTTGAACTTTGCTCTGAGTCTTCACAGTATGCCTGCATGTGCTGCCCTGTTTTCTCTGTTTTGAAGGTGGAGAAGCTGAGGCCCAGAGAGGTGAGTGGCATGTCCGAAGCAGCCCAGCACAGGGTGCGAGGCAGGCAGGGCTGGGCTCCCCAGCCTCCCCTGTGAACCATCTGCCCGCCGGTTGCAGGAGGCGTTCCTGGAAAGCAAGCGGGCTGAGTTCCTCGTAGAGATCAGAAGAGCAACAAGATCTCCAGGCCAGGGCAGAGGTCCCCGCCCTGGATGCTGGTGACACTTCCCCTGGGCGGGAGGGGCCGGGAGCACTCAGATCTCAGCCCTGAACAGCCTGTCCTCTCGCCTTGAGGTTCTTGGTAGGCTGGGAACAGCCTGTCCTGCTGAGCTTCCTGTCGCCTCTCTAGCTGCCCGCAGGCTGCACAGCTGCCACCGCTGGCCCTGGCCCGGGAGAGGCGGGTCTCTGGAGCTCTTAGCAGGCCGTGGTGGTGGGGGTGTCTTGGGGCCAGCCTGAGCTGCAAGACCATCACAGCTCACAAGCCACCTCCCCACTCTGTTGCCGGCTCTCCTTGAAGACACTTTTTTTTCAATGAACCAAAGCAGTGCATGGCAATGTGATAAGAGAATCAAATACAGAGCAACAGAATCAATGCCCCACACCGGGAAATTGCCGACTTTCTGTTCCCTCCCCCACCCTTTCCTTCCCTCCCCTCCTCCTTCCACCACTCCCTCCATACCACAAACATTTATTGAGCACCGGCTGTGTGCCAGCCACTGTTCTAGGCCCTGAAGACACAGAAGTAAACAAAAAAAGAGTCCCTGTCACATCCTGGAGGGACCTTCCCCGTGTGTATGTGTGTGTGTGGGTGGATGTGTGTGTGTGTCTATACAGTGTATCCAGACAGCGGATAATAAAAGCTGTTTATCAGGCACTTTCTCTGAGCTGTTCCATGTGCTTCACTTATACTCATTCATCTAATTCTCAGGACACCCCCGTGAAGTCAGTGATAATAGTCACAGAGGCCCAGAGAAGTGAAGTGACTTGCCCAAGGTCACACAGCCAGCAAGAGGCCGAGCCCGGATTGAACCCCAGCCGCCTGGCTCTGGAGCCTGCAGCATCACCACAGCGGGGAACCACCACCAGAGACAGACATCAACAGCCACTAGGAGATGTTAACCAACAGGCTTGTCTTCACGGCATGGCCCCCACTTCACCGGCTGCACTGTTTGACGAGTTTTGCGGGTCCCAGATCTTATAAGCTCGTGGTAATTGATCCAAGTGATGCGGAGGTCGGCCTAAAGTTAGAAGTAGACCCCTCTCTGCCCCAAGACAGCTCTTCACCCCAATTCCATTCCCACAGTGTGAGCATCCACCCAGGCTGCCAAGCCAAGCCAAGCGGGGGCTGCCCTGGTTAGCAGGGACCTGGCCATGGGCCTCCTCAGCCCCTGGGGCCACCTCCCTGAGGAGTGGGTGCCCCACCCCTCCGTGGGCCGCCTGGTTTCTCTTTCTGGCAGCGTCTGTAGTCCCCTGGCTCTGTCACCCGCAGCTATTCTAGGCCTCTGGTTCCTTTCACTTTCTGCTCTGCGTCTTCCTGCCTTGGTGGTTCCCCGCCGTCCACTGCTCCCCCAGACTGAGACCTCCTCGTTGCCTGCCCTGGGTTTCTGTCTGCTCCTCTCCGTGGTGGCTGGCCCTGGCTCTGCCCCAAAGCCATGGAGAAGGCCGAATGCAGGCTATAGAAAGGTCTAGGATCAGATCCCCCAATCCCTCCATGGCCACGTGACCAGGCCCGCCTCTTCCCTCTGAGCCTCACGTCCTCATCTGAAGAGGGAATGCTGCTTGTGCCCACCTTGCAGGGATGTGGGGAGGAGGTGGTGCCCGTGGAGGCTCCAGGAGTCTCATCCTGACTCGAGACTTGGCACATGGTGGGGGCACAGGTCCCCTCTCCCGCCATGGGATTGCCACATCCAGGCTTTCGTGGGTTGAGATGCTGAGGAAAGGAAAGAAGAAAACCTGCTGGGGGAGCGGCCAACATGGCCCTCAGAGGCTGGGTGACCTTGGGCAGGTCACTTCCCCTCTCTGGGCCTCAGTTTCCATATCTGTGAATGAGGCAGCTGGACTAAAGAATAGAGAGTCAGAAATCAGAGTGACACAAACTAGGCTACAGGAAACCACGGAGGCCCTGGACCTCCAGGTTCTGCGAAGGCTCTTGGGAGAGGGTTGCCTGAGCTGAGTCTCCAAAGAGAACAGTGTCCCTAAGTCACGGGAGGTGAGCCAGAGCAGTCTGGAGAGCATGGGCCGCACATGTTAAGGCCCTGGGGCACAGAGTACAGGGCTTGAGAAGGGTTCCTCTTGCTCCAGGTGACTTTCATCATCCAGCAGGCTGTGGTGGCGCCTGCCTATATCCCAGCTATCTGGGAGGCTGAGGTGGGAGGATTGCTTGAGTCTGAGAAGTCGGGCTTGTTCTCTTGGTGTTAGCAGAGTCCAGAGGGAGCAAGTGGAAGCCACAGGTGTCTTGAGGCCTAGGCTGAGATCTAGCACATCACTTCGTCACTTCATCCCTTCGTTTCATCCTATTGGCTAAAGCAGCCTGATTCTAGGGATGGGGATCTAGACTCAACTTCTTGATGGGAGAAGTAGCAAAGTCACACTGACAAGGGCAGGGACACAGGGAGGGATGAAGAGTTAGCGATGGTTTTTCTTTTTTCTCTCTCTCTCTTTTTTTTTTTTTCTTTTCGAGAGTCTTGCTCTGTCACCCAGGCTGGAGTGCAGTGTCGTAAGCTCACTGCAACCTCCACCTCTCGGGTTCAAACTATTCTCCTGCCTCAGCCTCCCAGGTAGCTGGGACTACAGGCACCTGCCACTATGCCTGGCTAATTTTCGTATTTTTAGTAGAGACAGAGTTTCACCATGTTGGCCAGGCTGGTCTCGAATTCCTGACCTCAAATGATCTGCTCACCACAGCCTCCCAACGTGCTGAGATTACAGGCGTGAGCCACTGCAGACAGCAGGGCTGGTTTTTCAATCACTCTGATTAACTCCCCAACACTCATCCCTTGTCAATTAAGTTCCAGGCCAGTTGAGGTGACTCGCACCTGTAATCCCAACACTTTGGGAGGCTGAGATGGGAGGACTGCTTGAGCCCAGGAGTTTGAGACCAGCCTGGGCATCATGGCGAGACCCTGTCTCTACAAAAAATAAAAAATTAACCGGGTGTGGTGGCGCTTGCCTGTATCCCAGCAATCTGGGTGGGAGATTGGCTGAGGTGGGAGGATTGCTTGAGTCTGAGAGGTCGAGGCTGCAGTGAACCGTGATCACTCCACTGCACTCCAGCCTGGGAGACAGAGCAAGACTCTCAAAAAAAAAAAAAAAAAAAAAAAAAAATTAACTTCCAGTTCCTGGTCAGTGACTTTCAGCAATGGGCAGGTAACTTAATTCTGGCCAATGAGACATGAAGAAAGCTTTCCTTGCTCCTAAGGGAAGCCCCAGGGAGACATGGTTTCTGTTCTTCCTGAGGTGATGCCTGAAATTTCACTGGCCATCTTAGGACTGGCCTCAGATAAAAACAACAGCGAGATATCATCTGAAAGATGGAAGGCAAATGAACTTGGATTTCCAATTGAACAAGATATTACATGTCCAGATTCTTTTTTTTTTTTTTCCTGTTGAACAAGATATTACGTGTCCAGATTCATTTTTTTTCCTATTGAAGAAGATATTACATGTCCAGATTCTTTTTTTTTTTTTTTAAGAGATGGAGTCTTGTTCTATCACCCAGGCTGGAGTACAGTGGTGTGATCATAGCTCACTGTAGCCTCACTCTCCTGTCCTCAAGTAATCCTCCCACTTTGGCCTCCCAAAGCACTAGTATTACAGATGTGAGCCACCACACCTGGCCCATTTCCAGATCCTTTTTTAAAAAAAATATTTTTAAAAATAGAGACATGGTGTCACTATGTTGCCTAGGCTGGTCTTGAACTCCTGGCCTCAATAATCATCCTGCCTAAACCTCCTCAAGTGCTGGGATTGCAGGTGTGAGCCACACATGCCTGGCCCGTTTCCAGATTCTTCAAGCCAGTTTACATCAGGATTCCTTTTACTTGACCTCAAGGACATCCTTAATGATGCCTCTGGTTATTTTGGTCTTTGTGAGCCTTGTCTGCCTGACTGTGCCAGGTCAGAGCTTGAGAGCTCCAGGCTTTTCTCACAATGATGTTGGAGGGTCCTAAGTGCAGCCCCCAAGCTTCTGCCCTTCATATACAGGGAACACCCCTCTGCCCGCTGCTCCAAGGCCTCTCAGCCCTCACGGCTAAACCAGCAGCCACGATCCTGGATGCAGGAGACAGACCTGGATTCTGGTGAGTTGGACTCCACCCTTTATCACTGTGCAACACCAGGTAAGTCTCCTAACCTCTCTTAGCCATAGGTGGCTCTTCCACAAAACGAAGAATTCAAACCTACATTTGCATGGTCAATACTTCATGACAGCACATTGAAAATGTTGAAAAATCTCTGTCCGGCAATTAAAATTTGCATCTCCATGGGTTTTCATGCTTTCCAATGTGCTTCTTATTCTCTTAATAATAACAGCAGAGGCCGGGCGCGGTGGCTCAAGCCTGTAATCCCAGCACTTTGGGAGGCCGAGACGGGCGGATCACGAGGTCAGGAGATCGAGACCATCCTGGCTAACACAATGAAACCCCGTCTCTACTAAAAATACAAAAAAAAATTAGCCGGGCGTGGTGGCGGCGCCTGTAGTCCCAGCTACTTGGGAGGCTGAGGCAGGAGAATGGCGAGAACCCGGGAGGCGGAGCTTGCAGTGAGCCGAGATCGCGCCACTGCACTCCAGCCTGGGCGACAGAGCAAGACTCCGCCTCAAAAAAAAAAAAAAATAAAAATAATAATAATAATAGTAACAGCAGCAACAACAGTAATAGTAACAGCCAGCAGTTAGGGAGCACGTGCTCCGCGCCAGGCACACTGCAGATGGTCTTGCATGCACCATCTCATTTAATCTTCTGTGCTCAGGACACTCCCATCTCACTCTGCATCAAAGCCTCGCTCCTTTCCAGGCTCCATGGTCTCTGTGTGATCTGATTCTACTCCTCACCTCTCAGCCTCGCCGCTGACTCCTCACCCCTCACGCATGCTGCAGCAGCCACACTGACCTTTCTTTGAACACAGTGGGAACAGTCCTACCTCAGGCCCTTGGCACCTGCTCTTCCACTTGCCTGAAAGGCTCTATGTCCAGATGAGTAGCTTGTTCACCCACTCCAGCTCCCAGCTTCTTTTTTCTTTCTTTTTTTTTTTTTTTTTGAGATGGAGTCCAGCTCTGTCGCCCAGGCTGGAGTACAGTTGCACGATCTCAACTCACTGCAAAGTCTGCCTCCCAGGTTCACGCCATTCTCCTGCCTCAGCCTCCCAAGTAGCTGGGACTACAGGCGCCCACCACCACGCCTGGCCAATTTTTTGTATTTTTAGTAGAGATGGGGTTTCACCATGTTAGCCAGGATGGTCTCGATCTCCTGACATCGTGATCCACCCGCCTTGGCCTCCCAAAGTGCTGGGATTACAGGTGTGAGCCACCGTGCCCGGCCAACCCCCAGCTTCTTGGAGAGGCCTTCCTTAGCCATCCTAATAAAATACCAACCCACACCTGGCACCTCCTAACCCTGCCCCCTGCCACCCGCCACTGCCTGCTTTACTTTACTTCCCTCTGACATACTGGTTTTTTGTTTGTTAGTTTTTGTTTTTGAGACTGGGTCTTGCTCTGTCACCCAGGCTGGAGTGCAGTGACATGATCTCGGCTCACGGCAGCCTCAGCCTCTCCAGCTCAAGCAATCCTCCCACCTCAACCTCCAGAGTAGCTGGGACCAGAGGCATGCACCACCACACCCAGCTAACTTTTTTTATATATAATTTTTTGTACAAACAGAGCCTTGCTGTGTTACCCAGGCTGGTCTCAAACTCCTGGACTCAAGCAATCCTCCCGTCTCCACCTCCCAAAATGCTGGGATGACGGGGGTGAGCTTCCGCGCCCAGCCCACATACTGTTTAACAGGTTTGTTGGCTAGAGTGTGACTATCTCCCTGCTAGACCATACATTCCTCAAGGGCAGAGGATCTGGTCTGTTTTGTTCACTGCCAAGAGCCCAGAGCCGGGAAGAATGCCTGTCGTATAATAAGTGTTCAGGAAATGTTTGTTGAATGAATGAACAAATATATACCCCTATAGAGTAAATGCCAGTGTTATTCCCATTTTTCAGCTGTGACGCAAGAGCTCAAGAAGGGAACTGGCTCCCATTTGCACGGCAGAAGGAGCCATGGTGGGACTCTGACACGGAGCTGGCCTTGGGCTGCAGGGCCTTGAGCTGCACAGCATCTTAAAGGGGCCAACCCTTTAAGGTCTCTGCTCCTGGATCTGCCAAGTAAGGCCTGATTCTGGGCCAGATGCCAGAGGGCCCTTCCCGTTGGCATCTCTGCAAAGCCTCACGTGTTGTCTGATGGCTACATGGTGCTGGGAGAGCCCTGGAGGCCTGGAGCAGGACCAAGGAATAGTCAAGTGGACAAAGGCCTTTCTGAGGAGGAAGCAGGTGACAGGAGGGAGCCCTGAGTGGCAGGACCAGCCCTGGGGAGGACACTGTCCTTCACAGCTCAGAGGTCAGAGTTGAATCAGGCCCACAAACCCTCCCTGAGCCTCTGCTCTGGGCCTCTCATACATGGGCCTAAGAGCCAGGGGTGATTTAAACCTAGGTATTAAAGTGGGGGACAGATGCAGGTGGGTCCTTCAAGGGATGCTATTTTAACTTTTATTTACTTACTTACTTACTTATTTGAGACAGAGTCTCGCTCTGTTGCCCAGGCTAGAGTGCAGTGGTGCAACCTTGGCTCACTGCAACCTCTGCCTCCCAGGTTCAAGTGATTCTCCTGCCTCAGCTTCCCAAGTAGCTGGGATTACAGGCACTTGCCGCGATGCCTGGCTAATTTTTGTATTTTTAGTAGAGAAGGGATTTCGCCATGTTAGCCAGGCTGGTCTCGAACTCCTGACCTCAAGTGGTCCAGCTGCCTTGGCCTCCCAAAGTGCTGGGATTACAGGCGTGAGCCACGACACCCAGCTGCTATTGTTATTTCATTTCAGCCCTATTCAGATCCTTCCTGGGGATATTTCACAGATGGGGAAATACAAACTTGAAGAGGTGAAGGAATTGTCCCAAGGTCACTTGGCTAGAAAGAAGTACATTGAGGTGGATGACAATGATAATATTAACGTGACTCCCAAAGCTAGGTCATAAAAGACATGTGGCTTCTGCCCTTCCCCGTTTTAGATCACTTGCTCTGAGGGAAGCCAGCTGCCATGCTGTGAGGACACTCAAGCAGTCCTGTGGAGAGTCCCTCAAAGTGAGGAACTGAGGCCTCCAGCCAACAGCCGTGTGATTGAGTCCGTGTGGAAGCAGGTCCCTCAACCCCAGTCAACCCGTCAGATAGATAATAGCAGCCCTGGCCAACATCTTGACTGCAACCTCATTAAAGACTCCAAGCCAGGCCAGGCGCGGTGGCTCACGCCTGTAATTCCAGCACTTTGGGAGGCCGAGGTGGGCGGATCACGAGGTCAGGAGATCGAGACCATCCTGGCTAACATGGTGAAACCCCATCTCTACTAAAAATACAAAAAATTGGCCAGGCGTGGTGGTGGGCGCCTGTAGTCCCAGCTACTCGGGAGGCTGAGGCAGGAGAATGGCATGAACCTGGGAGGCAGAGCTTGCAGTGAGCCGAGATCATGCCATTGCATTCCAGCCTGGGCGACAGAGTGAAACTCCATCTCAAAAAAAAAAAAAAAAGAAAAGACTCCAAGCCAATACCACGTAACTGAGTCACTCTCAAATTCCTAACCCACACAAACTGTGAGAGACAATAAAGGTTCATTGTTTTAAGCTGCTATATTGGTTTTCTATTGCTGCATGACAAATAGCCATACTTTAGTGGCTTAAAATAACACATGTATTATTATCTCAGAGTTTTTGCAGGTTAGAAATTTGGTATAACATTGAGTTCTGTGTTCAGGGTCTCACTGGGCTACCATCAAGGGGTCAGATGGGGTTGAAGCTCCCAACTGGAGGCTCTGGGAGAAAATCTACTTCCAAGTTCATTCTTAATGTTGGCATAATTGAGTTCCCCTATTGTATTGCTGTAGGGCTAAGGTCCGTGGTTCCTTGCCAATGTCAGCTGAGGGCCTCTCTCTATTCTAGATGCCAACTTTTTTTTTCTTCAACTTTTTTTTTTTTTTTTTTTGGAAACAGAGACAGACTCTGTCACTCAGGCTGGAGTACAGTGGCATGATCTCTCTTCGTTGCAACCTCTACCTCCCAGATTCAAGCAATTCTCATACCTCAGCCTCCCAAGTAGCTGGGACCACAGGTGCACACCACCACACTTGTCTAATTTGTTGTGTTTTCGTAGAGATGGGGTTTCATCATGTTGCTCAGGATGGCCTCGAACTCCTGAGCTCAGGCAATCCACCCTTCTTGGCCTCCCAAAGTGCTGGGATTACATCCTTCCACTTTCATTCCAGCAATGGTGCAGTGAATCTTTCCTGTGCTTCAAATCTCTGACTTCCTCTCCTGGCACCAACTAGAGAAAATTCCACCCTTTTTTGTTGTTGTTGAGATGGAGTCTCGCTCTGTCGCCCAGGCTGGAGTGCAGCGGCGCGATCTCAGCTCACTGCAACCTCTGCCTCCCAGGTTCACGCCATTCTCTTGCCTCAGCCTCCCGAGTAGCTGGGACTACAGGTGCCTGCCACCATGCCTGGCTGATTTTTTGTATTTTTAGTAGAGACGAGGTTTCTCCATGTTAGCCAGGATGGTCTGGATCTCCTGACCTCGTGATCCACCCGTCTCGGCCTCCCAAAGTGCTGGGATTACAGGCGTGAGCCACCGTGCCTGGCCAATTCCACCTTTAGGGCTTCCTGTGATTAAATTAGGCCCACTGAAAAATCACCCTTTTATGAAGTCAACTGTGGATTTGGGCTCGCTACCACACAACTGTGGATTTGGGCTCGCTACCACACAACTGTAGTTGCAGCCACTTAGGAGGCTGAGGCTCAAGTAATCGTCCAGCATCAGCCTCCCGAAGAGTTGGGATTATAGGATTATGGGTGTGAGCCACTGCGCCTAGCTGACGGAATTTTTTTGTAGACTATCCTTGATCATTTATTCCCTCTGTTGTCTCTTTTCTTTCTACCTTCTTTGAGTTAGAAGTTGTATCTTATGGGATAATCCCTCATTTTCTTATCCTTTCTCTCATATATTCCAGTCTTTTGTCTTTCTGGGAGATTTTCTCAGCTTTCTCGTGCAATACTGATATTGAAGTTTTTATTTCTGCTATCACCTTTCTAGTTTTGTTTTGTCTTGTTTCTGAGATGGAGTCTTGCTCTGTCACCCAGGCTGGAGTGCAGTGGCTCAGTCTCTGCTCATTGCAACCTCCACCTCCCGGGTTCAAGCGATTCTCCTGCCTCAGCCTCCTGAGTAGCTGGGATTACATGCACGTGCCACCACATCCAGCTGATTTTTTTTTTTTTTTTTTTTTGTCTTTTCAGTAGAGATGGAGTTTTGCTATGTAGCCCAGGCTGGTCTTGAACTCCTGACCTCAAGAGATTCTCCTGCCTCGGCCTCCTAAAGTGCTGGGATTACAGGTGTAAGCCATTGTGCCCAGCCTCTAGTTATTTCTTATTCTCTTATTCTGAGTGTTCCTTTTCACAGCATCTTATTCTTCTTATATGAATGCAGTATGTTTTATTTATCTGAAGCTTCCTTATTTTCTTGAAGACTTTTGTTGCTCCCTGCCTGGCTCTGTTTTTTTTTTTTTTTTGGAGTTATTTTCCTCTCTTGGCTTCGGTTTTTGACTTTCATTTTACAAGCTACTCTCAAGGGTTCAGTGACCCTCCATTGCACATTCATATTGAAGAGCAGAGAACTGAAAAAGATACTTGAAAGTGAAGACACTTGGAAGCTTCATGCCTGTGGCAGGACGTATGGACAGGTGAGGCTTGTTGGGATCTGGCTGTCCTTGTAAGATCCCAAAGCCAGCATTGGAAGTGTCTTCTGAGAGGATCCCCCTGGCCTCCTGACTGCAGAGAAAGCAGGCTATCAGCTTCCAGGGACCAAGCAGCGGGATGGGGCCAGGGGCATCTCCGTGACAGGCATGTGGCCTTTCCCTTCACTCCTTGTTTCATACTGACCCACCTCAATTCACCTTGCTATCCTCAAACTCTAAGCCTCCAGGACAGGTTTTATTTAGATAGTATATTTATGATGGGTGCTGATAGAGACTGGAGGGTAAATGGACTCCCAAGTTACTCCTTGGCACCCCTAGGATGCCAGGTGATGGGGTATAAAAATGAACCAGAAATGCTGGTTGAAGACCTACTAATTATTGAGCAACTACTATGTGCCGGGTGCTGAATCTTAATCCGGGTGTTTCCACACAAGGAACATCTGGCCATGTCTGGAGACATTTTCAGTGTTACAAATCGTGGTAGGGGTGGGAACTAATGGCATCTAGTGGGTAGAGGACAGGGTCACTGCTAAACGTCCTACAGTGCACAGCGCAGCCTCCCATACCTGGCTCTGAATGTCAATAGAGCCAAGGTCGAGAAACCCTGCTCTAGAAAGATCAGACACGTTCCCTGACTTCACAGGACAGGAGTAAAGAATTTCTGGTTCTGGTTGGGCACAGTGGCTCACACCTATAATCCCAGCACTTTGGGAGGCCAAGGTGGGTGTATCATTTGAGGTCAGGAGTTCAAGACCAGCCTGGTCAACATGATGAAACCCCGTCTCTACTAAAAATGCCCCCCCAAAACCAAAAATATTAGCCGGGTGTGGTGGCACATGCCTGTAATCCCAACTACTTGGGAGGCTGAGGCAGGAGAATCACTTGAACCTGGGAGATGGAGGTGGCAGTGAGCTGAAATCAAGCCACTGAATTCCAGCCTGGGTGACAGAGCGACTCTGCCGAGAGAGAGAGAGAGAAAGAGAGAGAGAGAGAGGAGGAGGAGGAGGAGGAGGAGAAGAAGGAGGAGGAGGAGAAGGAGGAGGAGGAGGAAAAAGAAGAAGCAGAAGAAGGAGAAGAAGAAGGAGAAGACGAGAGGCGAGGAGAGGGGAGGGGAGAGGAGGGAAGATGAGAGGACAGGAGAGGGAGGATGGGAGGGGAGGGGAGGGAGGGAGGGAGGAAGAAAGAAGAAAGCAAGCAAGAAAAAGAAAGAAAGGGAGAAAGAAAGAAGAAAAGAAAAGAAAAAAACAGACCCTGCTCTAGAAAGAGGAAAGACACATTCCCTGGTTTCACAGGAAAGGAGGAAATCATTGCTAGTTCTGGCCAGGCACAGTGGCTCACATCTGTAATCCCCGCACTTTGGGAGGATGAGGTGGGAGGATGCCTTGAACCCAGGAGTTTGAGACCAGCCTGGGCAACATAGGAAGACCCTGTCTCTACCAAAAAAAAAAGAAAAGAAAGGAGAAAAAAAAAGATGTCTAGATCCTCGGTATTTACTATGTTCCAGGGGCAGGAGGAAGCTCTTTCCTCACTTTGACAGCAAGCCTGTGGCCTAGGCATTCTCAGTCAGCTTTGCTGGAGGGGGCATGTGAGGCCTGGCCAGCTCCGCCAGTTTACAAGGAGTGTTACTGGGGTGAAAACAGCCAGCGGGGACCAGTCTGCTTGTGCCTGGGATGGGGAAGCAGCAAATGCCCACCTTCCTGCCCAACCCCCTCCTCCCTCTTCACGGGGGGAGTGGAGCCGGGGGTGGCAGCGGCTGTCGAGTGCGAGCAGGCCCAGACCTGTGGCCCTGCCTGACGTTGGTCCCCATCAAGCCATGTGACGAGACCAGGCCACAAGAAAGAGGTTTCAACAAGCGTTATCGTTTCCTGGAACTCCAACTCGGCGACTTCCCCGAAGACCGGCTGTGCCTGGCGGGCGGGCTGCGCACAGCGGGGACAAGGCTGCCCCCTTCCTCCTCCGCTGCCTCCGCGGCCGCGTCTATCTCAGTCTGACTACCTGGAAGCGGCACTCCACCCTGCAGCCCAGCGGCCCTCAGCTTGGCTGCCAGGTCACCGGCATCCCCAGGAGCGGTGGGGCAGGGGCTGCTCCACCAGCCCCTGTGATGTTCAGGCTAGGCTGGACCAGCCCGGGACCCCTGTGTGCCCAGAAACCCACTTCCTCTTCTTTCTGCCCCTGAACAAGCTTCTCAGGGCAGCTGACAATCAGACTTCGCACAGATGTGCCTCAGTGTTGCTGTCAGAGGAATGGACACAAGGCTGGGTGTGGTGGCTCACACCTGTAATCCTAGCACTTTGGGAGGCCGAGGTGGGCAGATCACTTGAGGTCAGGAGTTCCAGACCAGCCTGGTCAACGTGGTGTAACCCTGTCTCTAGTAAAAATACAAAAATTAGCCAGGCGTGGTGGTGGGCGCCTGTAATCCCAGCTACTCAGGAGGTTGAGGCACGAGAATCACTTGAACCAAACCCCGGGAGGCAGAGGTTGCAGTGAGCTGAGA